AGCAGGAAACTGGCTCCAGTTTTCCCCTGAGCCATCGAGGGTAGGGCGCTGCTCGCCTCCTCACCTCTGAACAACACTCGGGCACATCTGAGATGCTATGGCTAAACGCTTAAGATCAGCAGTGGAGATCTCATAAACAAGCTTCAAAGTAAATATATTACCAGGCATATGTAAGTACTTGTTAAGATTTATATCTTCAGTGTCCCTGACATTTTACAACAGCGTTTATTTCCTTGCTTGCTAATTCACGGAATTGGATAATCTACAAGGAATTTACACATTAGAAATGAGCAAGATTCTTGGGCGTAACTTCATAAATATGACATTAGCACAGTAACATTCTAATATAAACATGCTAAGTAGGAATAAAGCATTTCCTAAGGGCAGAGGAGGTTCTTCATGCCACCGAATAAGCGTTGTGCGACAACCTGCGGGGAACTCAACAAGGCGAAAGGACCCTATTTGTCCAGTGGAGCAGCGCTCTGCACTACCTCTCTGGGCTGAACGCACAGAGGAAAGAGGCTGGGAATCGGGTCAGTGAATCAATGACCCTCCAGTTGTATCAGCCCAGCACTCTTGTCAGGGGAGGGGAGATAAAACAATTCCAAGGCTAAAACAGCTCTACGAATATAGTGGGATCTAGTCTACAAACGTGGACTCCTTTTTTTCCAATGAAGAAAAAACCCACGAGTAGTCTGTGTATTGTGACTATTTATGAAGTCCATTTATGTGGCTTGTATTCAGTTATTAGTGCTCACACGTAAGATTACAATGAAAATAAATTCCATTATAATGAATAACTCTATTTTCATCTGGTCCCTAATGGGACATAAAAATCATTCTGAGACATCATTTCAAAGAGACAGGTAATGAAAATGTTTCCAACAAAAATCTGTAAAAATTAAACTGAGGGTTTAAAGATTCCTGTAATGCGAGGAAGTGGCTGTGAACAGTTTTGGAGAAGGCACGCACTGTAACCAGATGCAGGCTTTTGTTATTCTGTTAAGGATGTCGGAGGCAATTGTTTTTTTCCCCTGATTCATCCTTTTCCCTAGTGGATATTCTGACCCTTAGTCCTGGCAAACCCAGCAGTACCAAAAAGTTCTCTCTGGTACCTCATTAATCACTCCCCTGCCGTGTGCTATCTTACCTGCAGATGTAATTCTTCTTGCAGGATTCTTGTAAATTCAGGCAGTTTGGTTTCTCCCTGTCCTCATATGAACACACAGGAACAATAGTCTGCCGTCTCCTTTCTGTACAGGCTACGTCTCGACAGGAGCAGAAGAGCATCCCGTAGCTGTGCTTTGGGGGAACTTTGTCAAAAAATAGCCGGAGGGCCTTATGACACTTCCGCTTGTTACAGATTTCATTAGACGTGCTGCTGGTGCAGGGGGTTATGTAAGCAGATCTGAACCTCTTGCAGGTATCATTTAGGTTACAAGCTTTTGCTGCATCCAAGCAATTGTTCCCCTTTGAAAGTACTGGCTCCACTAGAAAAAACAACACAACAGCAGTAAGAAATGCGTCACATTTATATTGTGTTTTGATGCTTGTGTTTATTTCACCGTTAATGAGATCCTGATTATATATTTGTTACGTACAAAACTTTCAGTGTCAGAAACTGCGACCAGTTTCTTAGGGTAATGGTTTAACGAGTGAACAAGAGCACAGGCATGCGTTAAGGTCAGAATGCTGGCAAATAAATGACGGTTACACCGGGCAGGCTGTACTTCTTCTTTGTAGCAGACATGCAGATGACTATTGGGTAAGACTTGGCCTCACTAAAAAGCTATTAAAATCACTGGTAAATTGGAAGGGATACGTTTGGCGCATCACACAAGAACACAGTGAGAACATGGGCTCCTAACTCCGGTTTTGTAAAGCTCTGACATTTTTTATTTTTCCCTTGAACAGTATATATGACATTCAGTGTCTACACCAGGTAACAACATTTAAATGTAATTTGTGTACTCTGCAGAATGTAAAAGCCACATGCCTGTTACTACGTTTTTGAGGTATGAGAACAGCCCACCCAGGCAGAAAGGAAAGCAGGTGCAGCCCCATGACTGTGAGCCCTCTAAGGCCACCCACCAGGCCGGTAAGCTCCATGCTAAGTTAAAGTCAGTGTTATAAGATCTATAGATGCCACCTGAACCCTGGAAGTTTTATGAAGTTTACAAGCTTTGAAAAAGCTGACGTAGAATTAACAAGTGGCTGTGAAAGAAACGTTTTAAAACAAGGAGTATGTCTGTCTCACGCACACACATGCACACACTACAAGAAGTTATAGAAAAAAATTAGATAAAAGTTAAGACTATAATTACACATTTAATTTTGCAATACATTATCCAGATATTAAAACCCAATATATGCTTTGCTTGAAAATGAAGGCAACTGGCATTAGAATGCAATATTCAATTAAGAATAATTATAATGCTGCTTTGGATATTAGGAATGCCAACATCATAGATCCAAGAAAATACATTAACTTCCCATTGCTACAGAATTTGCAAGCTGAACAAAACATTTTGCAAGTATCTAAAACTCTGCAACAACCTCTTAGGGGGGATGGCCAAAGATAAAACATCTCAAATGATCTAAGAAGCTCTAAGTTCCTCTTAGAAAAAGCTTTTTTTCTAGATCTTCCACCTTTTCCCAAAAACTCAGTCCAAGGCCCTTCTACAACTCAGTGCCACTCCCCTCTATTCTCCTGCTACTCTGCCTCCCATTCCCAGATCAGGACATCAACCTTCTCTCTTTTTCCACGTCAGGAAAAGATGATGTAGCTTGGCTGACGTGGTGCACTGAGGTACTGCATTTGCTTGAACTGACTGTGCTCAAGACGGTCCTTGGATGCTAGCACGCACTTCGCCTTATACAAATATATCCCCTGCTACTATCCCGTGTACTTTACATATCCAGAAATAACGCAATGCATAAGTAGCATTAGATTTTTCACTCTAGCGATATTCTGTAACTACGTTCGGTGGGTTTGTACATTTAACCTTGGTATATTTAACGTTCATACTCCAAGTCCTTGCCAATCCCAGTTTCTTTCACAATAAACTGCAACTTTTTGCTTCTTATCTTCACAAATTACCAAATTATAAACGTGCAACATTCGAATATAAATTAACAGAGCCAAGCATTTCTTTTAATAGCAGCCTACCACAGTTTAAGCAACACCAGATGCAGAAGAGATGATATCCAAAATACAACCCTCTCATAAAATTGTAACATTTTTATATAAAATGTTGTATTACATTAGCATACAACTATAATCTTAACTATGAACTCTCAAAGTTTTTTTTTATACCGTATATAGAATTATATGTTTAGTACAAATATAATTACTATGTAATCTGCAGGGCATATAATTACGCAATATATGAATAGTACATGCTAATTACTATGTGATTGCAGAGTAAATACATGGTTATTTGTGCCTGGGAGTCAACTGCTGAATTCCAGTCTTTAAAACAAGATTCCGTGGAAGAGCTCTGAATGGCGCATTTTAATACGAACAGACATCAGCTTACTGTATGATATATTATAAAGCATTCATTAAAAGAAACCCAAGATGTAATAAAGCACCTCTTTGCTGATAATCATATACATGTTTTCCACTAAGGATCCAAAATGTAGTAACTGCTGATACAGAATTAAAAAGCACTGTGAATATGAACACCTCAAAAATCAAAAGGGACAGGTTAATCAATCTTTTTAAAAAACAGCACAAGCCAACTCACTGACCACACGAACAGCAGTGAAAGTTATCTTGGGTGAAAGTTGAATTAGGTGCAAATTGTTCATAAACAATAGTTATGCTCATTCATATCTTTCCTACAATTTATATCTACCCAAGACTCGCATGACTATATGTCAACTCTGAGGACGGACCAGGTCTTTTGGTGGTTTTTGGTTTTTTCCCTAGAATTACCCCTGGCTGTAACTTGCCACTTGCCTTTTCTATTTTGATACATATGTCTCTAGGTATTGTTCCTGGCATATTTGTCATCACATTATACAAATTATTTCTACCTTTTAAAACCAAGACTAACATACAGCACATAAGAGATATGCATTAACTGCATTTGAATTAAACAAGACTGCCTAAACCAACTTTTCTCACTAATACCAGCTTCTCCCAAGCTTTTAAATAATGTTTCAATGCAAAATTTACAATCCAGAACACATTTTATGCTTTATTTTTATTGCAAAAGTACAACAAAATTATTCCTAAGTCCTGTGGTAACTACAAACAGTTAACAAGACTGAGAGTTTCTGAGGATTACTTACGCAGCAGTAATACATAAGGTCAAAATTTCACCCAGCTTCTGTTCTACAAAGCTTAAATTATTAAGACACGCAGGAGTTTGGCTCTTAGTAGGTACTGACTATGTTAAGAGCAAATGGATCTAATCCAGAGCTACTTTTCCTGCCAGCATCCTTTGGGAAAGGTCTGTGTAAGGAGATCCTTTTTCAGTTCCCCCCCTCTCTTGGATATGGATTGAGGGCAGTCAGAGCAGCAGCCTGGGACAAGTAACGATTCCTTCCCACTACCATTTCCCCACCCAGAGCTTCCTCTCCTCCCGCTTTGTCTTGGGCCCATTCTAGAAATCTGCCAAACCACTGCGGACTCCCAGGTAAGTTACTTCCAGGCAGGTGATAAGTGATGCCTCATGCCTGTGAGCCAGGCACTGGTTCCCACCCGCGGCAAGGGGCCCAGCAGAGCAGATCTGCAAACACCAGGATGCTGCCTCCCAGCAGAAGTCACCAGCAGCTGCGAGCTGCTTCGCCGCTACGGGTGCTACCCTGCTGCGGTGCAAGCAGAGTCACGGCAGAACACAGCCAGAGCCAGGAGCTGCTGCCTTGGTGGGAAAGCAGCAGCTCCCAACATCCATAGAGTTAGGATGCCTAAAAACATCCTCCTACCGAGCAGTTTGCTGAACACGATGTGCAAAAACTCTGGGGCAGCAATAATTGGCTTACTGATATAACTTACCCCTACATGGATCAGCGGCTCACAGCTCTTCTACTGCACGTGTAACGCATGCATGCAAGGTGAGATGTTTTTCTGATAAATTTTACTGATGAAAAAACAGGCCTTGTATTATAGTATAAGATGTTACCATTTTGATATTTTTTATCTCCTGAACCCCCGCCAACCCTGGCCCAACATTGTTACAGCTGCAACAGTTCTGGACTCAAGCTCCCATATGACAGCAGAAAGAAGCCAGCCAAATGCTCCAGTCTTTTATCCAGAGATGTTTCTGAAGTTTTAATAGGGCTTCCTCTGCCCTGTGTGACCTTCCTTATGCTTCACCCTCTTTCACAGTCTCTTCACCTTAATCTTTCATCTTCCTTGCATTTCCATTTCTATTTCATTTCTGCACCTACTGAGCCTGTGGCTGTCTCCTCAACTCCTGTTCACCCCATGGTGCACAAGAAGGGATTCTCAGTGGATATTGGTAGCTTCTTACTCGTGCTCCCACTAGATGGAAGGAGTGAAAGGACTGTTACTTGTTCTATAAGATTCTTATTAAACAGCAAAATGGACACTTAGTTTTCAGTTTTCTTACAGTACATAAAAAGCAATTTACTGAGGTTGCCATTAAATTTACAATTACTATTTGCAAGTAATTAGCATTAGTAGGTTTTCTAGGGTCTTTAGTGAAGGGAACGCTCTAAAGAGAGCAGTAAATGTTAATGTGATGGAAGGCAAAATTACAAAGTAATAGAGGTGACCACACGGATATGGGCCTACTTCAATGCAGGTGTGGCATATAGGAACCAAAAACTGACCAAAATAAAGAGAACCGCGATCCCACTTTAACAAAAGTGCTGCTGTGGGGTTCACCAAAGTAATTCTGCTTTGTAAGAAGAACAGATTAAAAAAATAAGGAAAGCATGGGAAATATTGTCATCTGCATCTTAATGGATTCATTTTCCTGGACAAATAATTTCTAATCTCAAATGGCAGAGAAAAAACAAGTCAGCCCTGAGAAATCATGAGACTGATGCACATGTTCATGTTACTCTAAGGTTCTACTTGTCTCCTACTCAGCCTTTAGAGAATAGTCAGGCCTACTTCAAACCTTGTCCATAGTCATGATAAGCAGGTGCTTTACTTTTTAAAATTAAAGCTAATACATTATCAGCTTTACCCAGGGCTTTCAGAGTACTACCAAATACAACAATACGCATGTTGAAATTACAATAGTTGGCAGCAGTAGGTACACCAGGTGACAAGGGTGTTGAGACTGACTCCTGTGTGCAGAAGAGCACACCCAGGGCTAGAGCAACAAAAGGACCTAAAACAAAACTGCCTAAACTGAGACTTTAGGTTCCTGAGACCAACGCTGGAACATTTTACATTCCTGGTCAGTCCTCCCCAGTGCTGGGCATGCAAGTCTTTGATAACGCAAATTCCACACGTCCCTAGAATTCTTTTCTGAATACACCCATAAATCCACCTGAGGAGGTAAAG